TATTGATGGGTTATTTTTTCTTATCCAGTCTGCAACTCACCATCTCTTGAGTGGTGCATTTAATCCATTTACATTCAATGTAATTATTGACAAGTATGAATTGGTTGCTATCATTTTGTTACGTGTTTTTTCTTGGTGTTGCAGATTTCTTTGTTTCATTTAATTTTCTGTGCTAAGCTAGTTTTGTTTATGAATTGTGTTATCACTTCCTTTGTTACTGCTGTTTTAGTATTTGCTAAATATTTGTTTTTATACTCTTTTATTTTGATGTGAAAGTTTATCGTTTTTCTTTGAAGTTACTCTGTGATTTATAATTTTCTTCTCAAGTTTGGAACAGCCCATTTTGTCTTGCAGTTGTCTTGACTTCCTCATCATTTAGAAGTCATGTGACTACAGTGTGTTTCCCCTCTTTTTGGTTTGTAGTTGTCCTGATTTCCCAATTGATGTTTCTGGTTCTCTGTTTACAATATTGTAGGCTTATTTACTTTTTTTACTTCTGTAACTGCGTTGGTTACTGGGTTATGTTATCTTGTGTTTTAATGGTTTTTGTTGGTTTGCTGTTGTTGGTTCTCTGTTCAAAGGACTCCCTTCAGTATCTCTTGTAAAGTTGGTCTGGTTTTAACCAATTCCCTTAATTACTGCTTACCTGGAAGTGTCCTAATTTTACCATCATATTTGAGGGACAATTTTGCTGGGTGTAAATTCTTGGTTGGAAAATTTTTCTTTCAGGGTTTTATATATATATACCATCCCATTGCCTTTTTACCTGCATGGTTTCTGCTGAGAAATCAGAGCTTTAGTCTTACTGATTACCCTTTGGAGGTAACTTTTCATTTTTCCCTGCTGCTTATAGGATTCTTTCTTTGTCTTTGGTTTTGGTGAGTTTGATGATAATATATCTTGGTGATTTTTTTTGGGGGTCTATTCTGTTTGTTGTTTGCTGGACTTCTTGAATGGATATATTCTTGTCTTTCATCATATCAGGGAAATTCTCTTCCAACAAATCTTTGACAATTTTCTCTGTGGTTTTATTTGTCTCTTCCTGTTCTGGAATTCCGATTACATGTAGGTTATTCCTTTTGATGGTACCCACATGAACCTTAGGCTTTCTTCACTTTGTTTTGGTCTTTTTTTTGATTGTTCCCTTTCCAAAAAAGTATTGAGATACTTGTTTTCAGTCTCACTAATTTTGTCTTCCATTGATTCAATTCTGCTCCTTTGCCCATTCAGTGTGTTATCTATTTCTGAAAATGTAGTATTAGTCTTCTGGATTTCTGTCTGTAGATTTTGTATCATTTCTAATTTTTCATTTATTTTGTCATTTTGTTCTTGTATTGTCTTTTGATACTTTTCTAGGGTTTTCTCTGTGTTTTCCTTAATTTTGTCAGTGTTTTCCTTGATCTGCCTCTCAATTCATTGAAGATACCTAAATATAATTCTTTTGAATTCCTTATCAGGGAGTTCCAATGCTGCTGCTTCCTCAGGGATGTATTCTTG